AGCGAAATCGGATGGAAACCCCCCTGGCCCGCTCCCCGCCATCGCCGCGACCCCGCCGCCGCCTCCTGCTGAGTTTAGAGGCCGCCCAAAGTTTCCGGGTAAACGAGAAAAGTCTCCGGAAAGGCCGTGGAGGGGCCGGTTCACCCCCCAGCTCTCCCCGCCGACCCGTCCGCTTCGCTTCCCCCCTTTGCTGCTGCTTTTGCCCCCTCCCAGCGCGRCCCCAGCCCGACCCACCGGCACCGGGACAAGGCGGGTGGCGGAGGCGGGCGGGGGAGGGGGCACGTCCCGATGGGACCCCCGCTCTGCTCCTGTCCCTAAACTCCTCCTGGGACGAATCTGCAGAGAGGAAGAAAATTTTCACGCGGGTAGGGCATAAAAAAAAAATAATACGTTGTATCCCGCCAAAGGGAAAGGGAAAGGAAAAGAAGCCGGGAACGGTGGGGAAAGGGCCTGATCTTGCAGCTAAAACTGTCTGAAAATTAAAAAAAAAGAAGCTTGCGAGGGCGCAGATCTTGATGATCGGCCGAGGGGGGCCGGGATTTTAATGAGAGGAAACGGCCGGTGGGGAAAGGGCTGGAGTTTTTTTTCCCGGCTGGATTCCTTCCCGGAGCGCCACAAACCACAGTGCAACGCGACTGGGCACCGCCGGCAGAGCGGGGAAGGGAAAACCGCACCCGAAAAGGCGGGACTGAGAGGAAAAGGGGCAGAAATGCGGGGCTGCCCCAGCCCGCGGCCGGCCCGGGGGGAGCGGAGCCCCGCGGAGGGGRCGCAGTCGGGAAAACCGGGCCGGGGGCTGCGGTCCCGGCTCTGCGCCCCCCGAGCGRTTTTCTCCGTATCCCGCTTTAATGACCCCAAATCCAGGCGGAACTTTTCTGGCGTGGCTGGTTTTTTTCCCCCGCTTTGTTTTGTTTTGGAAGCGAAAGCGTTTGAATCCCCTTCAAGAACCGGTATCAAAGTCTCTTTTTTTAAAAGCTATTGATTGCAAAAGTCTTATTTAAACCAACACATTTTAGTTTCTCACATTTTAAAACATCATCTGGGGCCCATTGTATGGAAAATCGATTAGCAGGAATTGCCACGCTCTTTGCCTCCCGCTTGATTGTTGGAAAATCGAGACATCCATAGGCACTGGCTGGACTGGAGAAGGTTTGGAACCGAAATGAAAGGGTTTGCGAGGGATCTATAGGCACTAAATAATTCACCTGMCAGGCGATGGTGCTGTTATTTTGAAGCCTTAAAGAACTTTAAGGAACTTTTTGGCTCCCGGCGGGGTGCGTGGAGCCGCGTTCCGGCTCCTTCTCCTTCCTCGCCCGGTAAAACCCGACGGTTTGGCCGGTGCCCGGTGCCTGCTCGGCG